TAATATGTCACTTTATCAAAAATCAAAGGACAAAAACTAATCTAATTCACTAGTTTTTGGATCAAAATCAACATACATGATCAGCATAATAGCGAGCGCAGCGAGCATTGCAAAGCGACGTTCGTCACTACGAGCTCTTAAAGCAACGCCTGCGCGAAGAGAAAATTTGGACTACTGCACATTCATTCGATAGAATCTTTTGACGCAGTAATTTGGACCCACAATGCATCACTTAAAGCTACGTTCTCATGAGAATAGCAGCAAAAGTTCAACTATAAGTAAACATGCCCTGATTTAATGGATAAATATTGAAGATAAATAGTAAACGAAACGTTCTTCATTTACTTTCAGCACTGTTCAGGCTTCTTTTTGGAAATGTAACTTACATACGACGTCATGTCTAGATGCATCAAATGTCATGTGCATTTTGATGAGCCCGATCTAAATTATAACAAAATAAATATCTGCGATCGCCATAACGGTTGCACCGTCAACATATTACACAAATATTGTGGCATGAGTTTCATCTCATATAGCAGACTTAAAATGCTTGAAACATTTGATTCACTTTTTATATTAACATGTGCTAATGAGTAAAATCTGTAAAAAGAAAAAAATGTTGAAATACATTTCAAAATTTAACAAGAGGCCCATGGGCCTTATAGGTCACCTGAGCATTATGCATCAACTTTCCAGTGATTGAATTTGATTCATGTTTTAAGCCAGATGCTATGACATTCACAATTTTGAAAGAGGCACCATTGATCATCATAACTATACACTTAGCAGTTGCTTAGTTTGGTAACTTAATACCCATAGGCAGGGTAGGGAAACAAAAAATGCATTTCAACTAATCAGTAATTTTCAGCAATAATCAGTGGTGTCCCTACCACGCATGAACCCCTGACCCTTAGGCCTAGATCCACACATTGCACAATTTTTGAAAAGGAATCCTTGCTTTTTAAAAATATTTGATTGATACCAAGGAGCAGATTTCAAACAATTCATTCTTTTCAGTATATAAGTACAGTAAAACTTGGTTATAACGATGTCACTGGGACTTATGAAATAACTTCGCTATATCAGTAATTCGTTATAACCATTTAAGAAATTCATTAAATTTATATAGCTGGGGATCCAAGATTACTTCGTTATAACCGTGAATTCGCAATATCCGTGTTTGTACTAAACAAGTTTTACTGTACAGCTCCCCCCCTCCATGGTACCCCTGACCCTGGGGCCTTGAAATTCACAATTCTGGAAGATTAGGGCCCTTGCTCATCATAACTATATAGGTAGTTCATCTGCTCAATATCCAGGAACAGAGAAGAAGATTTTCAGGGAATTCATGTATTTTCACTATATAATCAATAGAGCCCTGCCCTAACACCATTCACAAATTCAAAATTTTGGTAGAGGCACTTTTGCTTATCATAACTATGCACTTAGTTAGTTTATTCAATAACTACTGGTAGGAGCAGAAGAGAAGATTTTCAAAGAATTCATGTATTTTCACTATATAATCAATAGAGCCCCGCCCTAACACAAGAACCCCTGACCCTGTGGCCATAAAATTCACAATTTTGAAAGAGGCACTCTTGCTCATCACAACTATACACTTACATGTAGTTAGTTTATTTACTGTAAAATCACATATTTTTGTGGGGTCAAATTTTCGTGGTTTGAGTAAAAACTTTTGCTTTTGGGGATTTGAATTTGTGGATGAAGAATTCTTGAGTAGGTTATGTATGTAACATTTTACATTTCGTGGTGGACATGAATTCGTGGGTCTCTTCATAACAAACGAAAACAATGAAAATTATAACCCCACGAAAATTTATGATTTCACAGTAATACCTTGGAGCAGAGAAGAAGATTTTCAAAGAATTCATGTATTTTCTCAATATATAATCAATAGAGCCCTGCCCTAACACCAGAACCCCTGACCCTGGGGCCATAAAATTCACAATTTTGGTAGAGGCACTCTTGCTCATCATAACTATGCATTCAGTTTGTTTATCGAATACCTAAGCACAGAGAAGAAGATTTTCTAGGAATTCATGTATTTTCACTATATAATCAATAGAGCCCCGCCCTAACACCAAAACCCTGACCCTGGGGCCATAAAATTCACAATTTTGGTAGAGGCACTCTTGCTCATTATAACATTGTACTTAATTAGTTTATTTAATACCCAGGAGCAGAGAAGAAGATTTTCAAAGAAATAATGTATTTTTACTATATACTTATCTAGCCCCACCCTAGCACTAGAACCCCTGACCCCAGGGCCATGAATTTCACAATTTTGGTAGAGGACTCAATGCTGATTACAATCATGCAAACAGTTTGACTGCTTGATGTCCAGGAGTAAAGAAGAAGATTTTTAAAGATTTCATTAATTTTAGGGGTTTTGGCCCCACCCCTCAGGCCCCAGGAGGAGGGGGGGCAGGGACCATTAAATTCACAGTCTTTGTTCCCCTTTACCCATAGATGCTGTATACCAAATTTGGTTGAAATTGTTCAGTGGTTTCAGAGAAGAAGCTGAAAATGTTCAAATGTTAACACACAATGGACGACACACGTCGCACGATGACGGACGAAAACGGATAGCAATAGGTCACCTGAGTGACTCAGGTGACCTAACAAAATTTACAAGAGTATTTACCTGAGGAAGCTCACACCAGATATGTACCCCTCCATTGACTAATTTCTCTGACAGAATGAAGTACCAGTTACCAGGGGTTATTCTTAATACACATACTTTTATTAACTTTGACAAAGTACCAATGATTCCTGAAAAGTGAAAACATAATGATTATATAAAGTTTGTGTAAAATCTGTAAATTAATGCAGCAATGTATATACAGCCATGTTTTGATATCAGTCATTGCTTTTAATCCTAGGAAAGATATACAGTCAAACCTTGTTAACTCAAACGCGAAGGGACTGAGAAAAAACTTCGACATGGATTTGCGATATCCAGGGTAGAATAATGAATAAGTAGTTGGGACTTCAAATGACATATCCATGGTATTCAAGATACCGAAGTTTTAACTGTATTGAGCAGGTCTAGCACAACACCCTGATAAAGGTATATAGCTTTATCAATGTATTACAAATACCTTGATCAAGGTATTTTATGTAATGAAAATACAAAAGAAAAATCTAAAAAATAAATACTGAAAGTCGAGTTCTGAGTTGATGTCAGAAAATTCACTCATGCAAGTACAGTACTCAAACAGTATAAAATCAGTGTAAAAGCATGTCGTGTGAGGAGACAATTTTTTACAGGGATTTTTTTACCCTTTGATTCCAGGGGCCGGGGCCGTCAAGATTGGGAAAAATAGCGATATTTGGTTGAAATTGGGAAAAATATCTTCATACAAATAAAAAGGAAAAAAACAAGCAAAAGTCAACTATTTAATCTTTTTTTGTTCAGAAGCATAAGAATGGCAAAGCCAAAGAGTATGATAATTGTAAATGAACATATTTATATGTTGTCATCTTTTTTACCTTTATTTAAGAAGTTCATTAAAAATAAAATTTGATAGTACGTTTGTTCCTGATGAGCATTACTGATATGAAATAATAGCGGCTGATGTTCAGAAGGCATAGAGAATGGCAAAGCCAAATTTTTCGAGTATGATAATTGTAAATTTCCCTTGAACATATTTATATGTTGATTAGGATTAGGTTTTAGTTTTTAAAATTGGGTTTGTTTTATAAATCCTTTATTTAAGAAGTTCATTAAAAATAAAATTTGATAGTAGGTTTGTTCCTGATGAGTGATCGGTATTTTCCATTTCAAATCGATTGACCAGTTTATATCGATGAATCAAGAACATTTGTTAAATCCCTGAGCAATTTTAATAGCATTGCACTTTGAGTCCCAGCTTGAAAATTACAGTCGGAGGCAAAATGCAAGAGAGACGTTATTTTACGCTTTTAATGATTTTTCGCACATTAAGGTATTATTGCTCACGCGATCGTCTAATACAACCGCCTTCGGCGGCACTTTAATTTTTGGGGACAACAATTTTTCAACATCGATCCCGCTTAAAAACATCTGTAGTATTCCGAATGACTTCTCGGATGGCTCGTAAATCACACATAGGAAACATATAACACCTGTTTTTCATTATTTATTTTAATAATTTACAACTTAATACTTTTTCATATTGGGAATTTTTAGGTATAATTTTGGGGAAAAACATGCACTTTTCAGCATCGGGAATGGGGCCGAATTTTGGCCCCACAGAGACCCTACAAAAATCCCTGTTTTATGCTGTCTTTTTGATACCCTAGTACTTTTCATGTGCGAGTGAACACACTGACCGGACCACAACTCATAATTCAACTTTTAAATTTAATTTTTTAAGAATTTTTTTTGGTACTTTAAACATAAAATAACTTTATCAGGGTATTGTGATGGAATGGACCTGTTGAGTTCAAGTTAAATTCTTTAACAGTAAGATAATCGATATTTCACAAATAATATCACGCATGTTTATAGTCCATTATTAACATATGAACTTGTAGCAGACAGCAATTCCTATGTGGCATGAAACAACTGGGAAAGGAGATGATGTGGACCAGAAATTAATCAAAACCAGGACTCAAGTCAGGTGCTGTCATCTCTTAGCCATGCCTGTGGTAAAACGACGATTTAAAGTATATTTCATATGTGTTTGAGGCAGTGTGTTGTTAAATACTTACTTGTGAAATGCTGAATACAACCAATGTCGGCTATTTTACCCCTGAATCTCATTGTAGAAAAGAAAGTGTTTACATTCTGGCGCCATTCATATAAAAATTAAAACCAAACGCGTAAACAATTTTTATATCCGATACGTGAAGTTAAGTTTCCTTTCAGAAATCAATAAAATAATTTGAAATGTTGCAGCTTAAAGAAATGTTCAATAGGTATATTGGTATTTAGAAATTTTGTAAAAATTACATTGGAAGACCTAAAATAGTTTAAAAATATACAAGCCCACATGTGATACTGATCAAGCGTCAGTTTAACATTGACATATTGTAAACATTTCTCCTGCCAATTTGGACTTCAACGTTTGATTCTGCGATGTCTGCGAGGTTAAGAAGTCCAGTGAGGGACAAAAGAATCATAAATTTAGCAGCTGAAATTGCAGAGACAAAGGACAGGGGAACTCCTATACTTCTGTTGAATTTGAGAGGTAACTTTTTCTTAAAAGATGTATTTATCGTTCAGACAAGTTTGGTCATGAATGCAATGTATGCGTTTATGCTTTTTTCAAGAAAGCGTTTATAAGATAACACCGATTAATTATTTTCTTTTTAAAAATCATTGCGTAAATCCTTCACCCCGATGCTATTTAGATTACACCGTTACTGACACAATTTTTGACAGTTTGAAATTTCATTTTAAAAAAAAAACACTGAATATTGAAATGTTATCTACACATATCATACCATAGATATTTTATTTTTCCTGAACAGAAATACTTGCATCAGCACCAAAAGGAAGCAAGGATGGAATCAGAATTAGAAATGAATGTTGGGAATTCAATATCCTCCAAGTACTTGTGCTAATTCTAAAACAAGATTTCAGCATTATTGATGGAGACTGGCAGACTGCAGCATCGTTATCAGCTATTCTCAGGTGAAATATTTTCATATCCTTGAAGTTCTTTCTTTTTTGTTTTATTCTTAATTAATATAAAAGCTAAGGGTGAAATGTTTACTGAATTTTGTAAACGTTTAAACGGATAGCAGTAAACGAAACGGTACCGTTTAAACGAGAGATTTTCTATGTTTGATTTTTATGGCTACTTACTCATGAAACTCGAATTTAATAACCAATTTTTTCACTTTAATATAAGTATGAGTTGTTATTACAAATTTATTGTTGGTCATTGTGATTTAACCGTAAGAATTTGAGGCGCATTAAACTCATTCACTTTCGACCTCGTCACCCAACTGCTTGGTTTGTTTGGCTACCGGACGTCTTTTTATCTCGAAAAAAGTAAAATAAGACCTGTTGACTGTATTGAAACTTTTCAAAGACTTGTGAAAAATGTATTATATTTATTTAATCAAAATATATCAAGTTTTATATTTCAAGTGTCGTAAAACATCGCTAGTATAAGCAACTCGGAAATCGGAATTAATTATGTTAGCCCCTATCGGGTTTTAGATATTTTCATTCAATATGTTTCCGGTTTAGATTGTTGCTTAAGACGGTGTTTCTTTTGTAAATTATGAAATAAAACAATTTGTTTGTGTTAAACTTTATTTCTGATAGACATTAATTGATAATGACCTTCGTGTAAACGTTTACTCAAACTGTAAACGTTTAGAGCATATAATCGAAACGTCGCCGTTTACACGTGTAATCGTTTCACCCTTAATAAAAGCTTTACCATGTTGAATGACATGCCTATTAAATTTAACCAGTGATGTCAGAAAGTGTATACTTGTGTAGTTCCTTTGTATATGACTATGTCATAAAGAACTCAGCTTTATACAATTAACAAATTATTTTACATTATTCTTTTCAGTCTTTTTAACATTTGCAATATTTATTACCTAAATGAAAATGATTTTGTATTGCACAAAAAAATACAATAATGCAGACCCATGCATTGCATTGAATTCTGTTATTTTTACTTTCAGTTGGTATGAAACAGATATATTAAGATATATATTTACATGTACTATATTTTTGTCTTTCAGTCAGATATGCCTAGGAATAGATCTTGAAGAAGAGTCCCAAAAGAAAAAGTATAATGAGGAATTTCTTCCTGAAGCCATCAATAATTTGTTTTTGGTCACGAGGAGGATACAAGCGAGACATGGCAATATTCCAGACAGACCAGTATGTTCTTCATTATTCAGATAATGATCAGTATCTGAGGACAGTTACTCTTTTTGTCACGAAATCCCAAATCAAAGACTACAGTTTCATATAGTTTCATTTATTTCTAAAATAAATGATTATCATTTAATAAGTGACACTTGAAAATAATATAACAACATTATAAGTAAACTGTTTAATAGTTCTCAATGACAGAAAAAAAGCTAAATGTTTTTACTCTTAGATCTATTTGCATTTTAATTAATGCAATCAGATTCATAGTCCAATAAAACTATGGTATTACATGTAGTACAATAATAAGTGTCAATTTTCAGAGTCTACAAAAAGACAGACAAAGACTAATGATGTGTTACAAGGGAGTGCTAGAATCAATAGCTCAAATTACATATGGATATCCAGAACTGGCTTCAGAAGGTTGGTAAAATAAGGACTTTACTCTCTGTAACATACATTTTATGGTGGCAATTTTGTACACTCAGTTTTTATGAAAAGGTAAGGCAAATGTTAAAATAAAAGGTAAATAAAAATATTGTTATACCCCTACTAAAATGTCCCTGTATAATTTCTTACTTTAAAAAGTCCAACAATTCGACTGTTTTCCCCGACTGTCTGTCCAGGAACTGTTCAAATTGACTTTTAAAAAAGACTCTTGCCCGCTGACGCCATATGGTGCTAAACTGAGTTATCTTTTCATTTGGTAAAGGAGTTTAACAAAACACTTGTTGACATTTACCTGAGTCTCTGGAAACAGTCAACCTGTTGGACCGGAGTGAAAGCTGTTGCCCGTGGTTTATGGCCTTGGTCAACAGCTTGCACTCCGGTCCAACAGATTGACTCTCTCTACCCCAGTCAACAACTTTATATTGTTATATGATCATCTCTAAAAAGATGTTTGTACATTGACATATATTTTCATATTTGACAAAATTTTTGCAGTGAAAATTCTTTCCACAAAGAATGTAATAAAACAATCCCAGGTACTTTATCTTGTTTATAATACAGTAGATTTCTATTTGTGATAGTTTTGGAGAGTCCCCGACTGTTAGTTACTTTTGTCTGATAACATTATAATGATTTCTATTTGTGACAGTTCTGGAGAGTCCCTGGCTGTTACAGTTACTTATATCTGATGACCCTAGTACAGTCTCTGGAGTAATGGAACTTCTCCCCAAAATTCTACGATGTAACAAGTAACTATTACATGCATTTGTTATATTGACAGATCATTTTCTTATCCTGTCTGTCATCTGGGTTATATGTGAAACAATTTCTTTTCTCCATTTGTTTTTTTTAAATACTTTTCACCCAAAATAGTCAGAAAATCTAATTCAGAAAGTGAAAATATTTTTCCTCATAAAAAGTGCATTTTTATGTAAAGCTGTGCATTTTCAAATTTTAAACAATTCTTTTATAAATAATTTAAATTATTTGAAATCTCCTGTTGATAGATTAATCAAAATCACTTTGATATTTACAAAATCAAATTTTCTTCATAGAAATGTTATAAATAAAATTGACAAGAAACTGAAGTTCAGCATTATGGATGAATTGATATACAAACTTACTGTCAACAAAGATGCTGCCATAGCTTCGTAAGTAGTCATGTTCTATTGGAAGTTCTTCTAGAAATCTTTATGGATGAATGTTCAGCTTCTGATTGGTAAATGTCAGTGTCTCATTCATTTTTGTATATTTTTATAACTTTATATTCCAATCTTAATCATTTATTAAATTTAAGATGTTTTTTTTAAATTCTTACCATTTCCTGAAAATATGTTTGACAATATTATTTATCAGTTATAGATTTAACTCCAATCGGAATTTCAGACAAGAGATATTTTTCAATCTTGATTCTTTTTCACAGGTCTGCTACCAAATGTGTCTTAAAAATCTGTGATATACATAAGCCAATGATTGATGTTCTCTGTACTAGATACAAGTAAGTCCATCTCTTAATTTTACACACTTTATTATATGGAACATACTAACTTACATAGGCACATGTATATAATGTATATAATGTGTACAGTGTATATTAAGAATTTATGATGAAAATAATTAGTAATTTGGAATTGTACAAAAGTAAACTTTGACATATTTAATTGATACTGTATGTTTTAATTTTGGATTGATTAAGATAACATATTATACCTTTTATAGAGGATTGAAGCCTATTCTTAACAAATGGGAGAATGCAGGATTTGGACGGGATCTACGAGAACTCATGATGATGTTACAGGCTGGAAACGCCAAACAAGCAGAATCAGAAGTAACATCTCCCCCCTCCCCAATCTTCTCTCTCTCTCTTTATCTTGTCTTAAAGCAGCTGTAAATATTATTTAACAACTGGTGTTATTTTAAAGAAAAATGTTGATTGCTCAGAATCTGTATGCACATGGTTCTCAATTTTGTGTATGTATGTAAATATTCGGTATAATATGATTAATAATGCAATACGTGACTGAGGGTAACATGGAAAGTTTTCCCCCTTTGATAACCATTGTGAGTCGGCACAGGAATTTTAAGGATGATTTTTTTTCAATGTTAACCTCAACTACATGCACTATTTATATTAACTTTACAAGTAGATAAACTCTTTCATGCAAGAGGCTTTTCAGCCAGTCCCATAGATATTTGTAATTTAAAATCAACATAAATAAATCTGCACTTTCCAGTATTTTTAGATGTAAACAAATACACACCCCTATTACGTCCTTTATAGAAGATGTAGAAATTCGTTATTGAGAACTTATTATTTTTTATCAAACAGAGATTTGCCCGAGCAGCTGTAGTCATTCAGACAATATGGAGAGGGTTCATTACAAGGAAGAAACTCAGGAAAGCTGACAAAGCCTTCTCCAAGTTCCAGAATACGTACAGGCATGTAACTTAAATAGTCCACTTTACATTTTCTACTGGTAGATCCTCATATTTCCCTTTTTTATTAATATTTATAATTCCTTTGTTACATACCACTTTCAGGAGGCGACAAATTGTGATGGAGCGAAGGAAGGAGGAGGCGAGACAAGCGTTAGAACTGGAGAGGAGACTGAAGCTCAACAGACAAAAGATACTGAGAGAATTCAAAGAAAAACAACTCCACACGATAGAAATATTGCCAGCAGGTAGGTCAAAGAATTCAATCTGTAGAAACTTATCTGCAACAAATGAGTTGATCTCATGGCTCAGATTTTCCTATAACAAAAAGGGTATACATGAATTCTGATGCTTAAATTATTCCAACTGAACAAAATCTGAAATTCATGGTGGCTTGATAAATTCTTACAAAACAAAAGCTAAAACTAATGGTGGCTTAGTAATTCATAGAAAAAGAAGCTAGAAGTAATAGTGAAAGTATACCTTGAATAAAAGCTATACCTAATGGTGATTCCGAAAAAAAATGTCATCCTCATTAGTTCTAGAACAAAAGGTAGATCTTTATATGACTCGGACATTCCAAGAACAAAAGAGTAGATCCTACTTTTTAGTGTAGAAGTGGAGTGTAATGATGGTAATTCTCCTATTGGAGCCAGCTTCTGTTTGAGATGACGATTGACCAATTTATACAGATTTTTATGTAAATCAAAATTTCTTTTTCAGAAATCCATTATCATAACAATGTGTAAAATATATTACAATATAAGAATTTTGTTTTACTTCAAAACAGCTCATGTTGAGAAGTATCTGCAGAATGAGCAGATTCAGGCAGCCATTAAAATCCAGAGGAACTGGCGAGGATTCCACTCCCGTCAGACAATGGATGAGAAAAAGGTCCTCATTCACCGCTACAAGGCAGCCGTTATATTACAAAGGGGGGTAAGCAAGGAAAACTCAGTCTTTAACGGATATTGTAATTTTTAATATTATAAGAATGATATGTACAGAAAAGTAGGTTGGAAAAACATTTTATTGTTCGAACATGTTGTCAGCAACTGTTTAAATGTTAGCAGCAATGTAACTTGTAAATAAAGAATAATTTGAAACATATAACCAGCAATATTGTGTACAGCCTTTGGAAATTCTATCTATGCAAAATTTTATCAGACAAAATACATTATAAACATTCCCTTTAATAGAGTATTTTTTTTTTGAAATCTTAATAACCTGTAGCAGTGTAATTATTAATAACAAACCATTCTGTTTACACTTTAACTTCATTCTTTCAAATGCAGTGGAGAAGAGCTAGATTATAAAACTTTGAGATATTGGAAGATTCAAGATATTGAGGTTAAAATACCTATTGAAGAGAAAGTGGTTGGGATTTAACAATAATCCAACTCACTTAAATATATATATTCATTATACCATGATCAAGATATCAATGTTTGGAATTCTTAAGTTCTTACTAGCTGGTATTTGTTTCAGGTGAGGAAATGGCTGGAGAAGATGAGAAAGAAGAGAGAGAGATTTCATTTCACAATTAAACCACCGGGATTGACAGAAAACAGAAGAGTGGAGCTACAACAACAGATAACACAGTTCAGGGACGAGAATCCAGTAAGTCTCCGTAGATAGTTTATTGTGCCCTGTGTTCTATATTAACCAAAAGAAGAAAAGTTAGTCAGCATCATTACTCTAACAATCACTGAACACATTCTGATTATCATTGAATTTAGCTAACTGGTGAGTATCATCATGGGAATTCATACATACATATTGCTTAGGTTTTGGACTCTAGATTTCATAATTAAAATAAAACTTATTTTAGAAGGATATAGATATACATTTGTACATATCTCATGAAAGTATGACTTAGTATATATCATTGGTTTATCATTTCTTGTATATATTTTACTTGTAAAATCTGGTTAGTATGGAAATTAACAACTTATTGGTTTATCATTATCTTGGTTAATTTTAAAGTTTATTTTATGGTTGAATGTAAAATCTTTTTAGTATGGGACATTTTTGATAAAAAATTTTAAAATATTTTGGGTTTCCAAGGTTTTAAAACTGTTAATCATAAGCATTGTACTAAAAGGCCGGACCATAATTTTATATTTAATTTTTTCATTGCTAATGCTGAAATTGTCAAAATTAAACAAATGTATATATAACGCATCAGGCTCATGTGTTTCAATAGCATAAATGACAGTTTCACCGTAAAAAGTATTTATTTTTAAAAACATGTATTGTGATAATTTCGCTCAGATTAATTAATAAACTGAATGCATGGTAGAAATCGGGCTGCATTTGTTGTATATGGCGGACTAGCACGTTTTCATTAAATGGTCGGAAGGGGGGATGTTTTAAGATTTACCGGGTATTTGTTTTTTTCTGGGGTCTAAAAATGACATTTAATGTTTAAAAGGAGCATTAATTTTTTGTAAATTTACTTTTTACCTAAATATATTTATTTTTAAGGTTATCATTAAACTTTAGAAGGTAACACATAACTCTTAAAACATCCCCCCTTCTTGCTATCAGTCATTTTGAGGAAATATAGGCATCACATCCGGTAAAGAAGCACTTTTAGTACAACACTTATGATTAACAGTTTTAAAACCTTGGAAACCCAAAATATTGTTAAAATTTTATTAAAAATGGAAAAAAAATGGAAAATTTTTAATTCTGTTAAGAGGGCTAAAAAGCAACTTTCGGTAATGGAAAGAAATTCATTCAACCGTAAAATAACTGATTTGGCAAAGTAAAAGATGTCCTAATTTTTTTGTATATATCACTGGAACAGTGGTATAGTAAGATGAATGGATTCATAAAGACATAATTTTATTTTAATTTCATTAAAAACTGATAATGCATTGCGAAAGCACAGTAAATATTTATTTTTATTTTGTGATAGCAATAATTAGTTACAAAAAAGCTGCAGAAATGTTACAAAGACATGTTACATATATATTTAATCACAGACTAGTTTGTCAGTTACAAAGGGATTCACACTGTAATATTTAAAATGTTATATATTTAAAATGTAAATTGTATTGTATATAGTTTGTCAGTTACTACACTGTAATACAAAATGAAAAGTCACTGAAATCTGAAGTACATACAACATGTAGTATATTAAGAAAATTTACAATGCTTTTGCTTTATTTCAGTGGCCCCTCCTTTAAAAGATGCAGGTGAAAAGGACATTGAAATGTATTCTAGTAATGTGTTACCAATAGCAACCAAAGCCAGGACTGATCACATAGAAACATTACGTTTATTACGGCAGCCTTGGTGGAAAAAGCTCCGTGATGAATTACAAGATCAGGGATATGAAGAGGAGGACTACATCTTATTTTAGAATTTCTGTGATATTAGTTTTTTTTTTAAAATCTTTTACACAATGTTTATATTTATTAGGGAGAAACTTCCTTTGGGAATGAAATAAAGGATATAAATGTTATTTTTGAACTTTGTTATCTGTATCCCCAAGTAAGGACTTAATTATCAACTGTATTTATCATGTTTATGTTTAAGGAACTTATACCTTCACACACACATAGACAGACTGATCAACCTTTTGAAGTATTACAGAAAAAAAGTTTTGGATCATAATGCCATAATCTCCTGGTAGTGTACACTCATTTTACAAAGTTTGCTGATTACCTTAAGTATCCTATACATTGAGATGCAATTATGAGATTCAAAATTTAAGTCACTGTGTTCTGCTTTTAACAAAATACTCTTACTCGAAGCCTCTCAGTATCCTAGATATCATGATAATAGTACAAAAATCAATACCTGAAATCAAAATATAGGTCACTGTGACCTACTTTTGAGTCGTGACATGAAATCCCAAAATGCATCAACTGACAAGATTTGATTATTAGCTCATCTGAGTTGAAAAGCTCAAGTAATTAAGCTTTTCTGATCACAATTTGTCTGTAGTATGTCCGTCTGTACTTCTTGCCACTAAGCATCTTTGAGTAAAGGGGATTCAATTTTTGTTCAAATGAAGGATACAGTAAAACTCGTTTCATAAGTACAAGTATATTGCGAATTCACGGTTATAGCGAAGTTATTTTGGATCCCAAACTATTTGAATTTAATGAATTCCTTATACGGATATAACGAATTACGGATATAGCGAAGTAATTTCATAGGTCCCTGTGACTTCGATATAACCGAGTTTTACTGTATATGTAAACATTCTTAGTTAGTACAGATTTGAAGTGATTAAAATCGTTACACCCCTCCCCCTCTCAGGGATAAGTCGGGACCACATGCATTGAAGCTTTTAAACATTTGCTTGATTGATTTTTGCTTTTTTCCTAGCCATAGTGCTCAGGTGAGCACTGTGGCCATGGGCCTCTGGTCCTTTTCCTTCTTGTAGGCAAAATATCAGTTTTAAGAAAACTTTGCCACATGGTATACTCTCACGATATATATCTACAACGTATCCTCATCCTTATGCTTAAGTTTGGTAATAATCTGCCTTTTGGTTCTTTTTCTGTTTATTTTCGTTACTATCTCCAATTTTTAAAAATGACGTCTCCATTTTTAGAAATAAACGAATGCCCCTGTACCATATTGGCCAAGGTGTTCCTGAGATACAATCCATATTCCACACATCGCACAAATGGTCATATATCATTAGCTCTGATGGGTGGCTCCCGAACAGGACAAAGTGCACATGGCTGGTGTGACCGGTCGGCAGGGGATACACACTCCTCCATGGCACCTGATCCCACCTCTGATGCTATGGAAGTCTGGGTTTGCTCTGCTCCTATTTTGTATTGTTTTATGGACTTTTGAGCTTGAATACTGTTTGTTATCTCAATTTATAGTATTTCACCTAATAAATGTACTTTTGTAAGTACTGACAAAATGTTTCGTAATGTGTGAAAAGACCAATGCCACCAGAAGATGCACCTCAGTAACTTGATGGTCTTTTAGTACTGAGAAGGATGAATTTTTTCTGGAGAGCTACAGTTCTATAACTATCCTACCTCTTCTCTCTCATCCCCTTTGAAGTCTGTGTAAAAAGTTGGCCCCCAACCTTCCCGCCCTTATGTGAAGTTTCCAGAGCAACTAAAAGTAATGGGTATTAATGATTTCAGGCAATAACTAAATACTTTCTGATCATTTTGACCTTTCCTTCCTGATACCCGAATTCTTTAGACAAAGTATAAATATTTTAATGTGATAAATCCTGAGTACTCAGTATTCATTTTAGGAAAAGAGAAGCTATCTTTGCAAGGAATTACGCTACCTTTTTGCTTCACGTTCTGTATTATTTTTGCTAAAGATGTCGAGATTCTGTCAAAATTAATGCATAACGTTAAGTTATTAAGGAGGAAAACTAATTAACACGCATGTAATATTCAGTTTGTTCTAATACTTTCGTCACCTATTCTACAAAAATACCTACCTGACGTAACCCTAACAACATTGACATTTTCGCTTGCTCTTTCCATTTTTGTTGTTCCTAATCATATGCTACACATCATCATGAAACAGAAATATATAGTTGTTCTTACTTGGTCAGGTTACAAGTCATTGGGAGGTTTATTCAACAATGCATTTAATTTTTCTCACCTGAATTCATTTATTCAAATATGTGTCCATGACATTTCAAGAATAAAAGTTTATTACTTGGAATAAATGTTTTGATTATGGAGAGAATGTGGCACCGCATCAGGTCGCCTTGTCCTTATGTCCGACTTTGTCGTTTTGAAAATAATTTTTTTTTTTAAGTTTTGCCATGCCCCCTCCCTTTTTAATGTATTCATGGCCTCCAAATATATATTAAAAAGGAATTCTTAATGGGCCATATTCTTCTTTTCAAATGAAGCATGGAAAAATGAGAAAAAAATTCAAGGTCATAAGGAGGGTCAAGGTTAAAAAATGAGATACCTGAAAATCTCACCAATTTATATCATTTTCCGATGTTTGATGATTTCAGAAAACACTCTTGGAACAGTTTAATTCTGAAATAAAACTAAATGCAAAAGGAGAGTGTTTGGTCAAATTCAGAGGTACTGAAGTTTAAATCTCAGCTGCATGAAAGGTCAGAGTCAGAAAATAAACAGTTGAACATCTCTGACCAATATGCAGCAGTGTATGAATGATAAAAATTTCTCCATTTCCTCAGCTCTGGGCTAAGTAATAGTTAGATCATATCAAGTAAAATTTTAGTGATTAAGAAGGGGCGGAGGGAGCGAAGCATTTCCACTAAAATTTTACTTAATATGATCTAACTTACTTAGAACCTATCGGCTATTGGCTAATGAATCAAGAGTTACTGCATAGACATAGAATCTTAACAATTAAGTGATCAACTTAATAGGAAATTTAGCAGCTGCTGATTGGAGGAAAAAGCGGGTTGGGTTCTAAATGCAAAATGACAGGCAGAAGAATTACTTTTCATGCTTTTCTTACCTAAATGATTCTGAATCTTTGAAGTACTTTATGTAACTTTCAGATTACTGATGCAGAAACTGTATACACGACAGCAGAATATCATTTTATTCAGCAGATTTACACATTCCAGATCTTACACACTAAATGTCATAATAATTTAACATACATGATCACTGTATCTGTAATAAATTCGTACAAATTCAAATAATAGGTCATTC